GCGCCTTGCAACGTAACTCGCGCTAATTGCGTGAATTCACGCACGCAGTCGACGCACGCGTGTGGATTAATCGCAGGAAAAGGACGCAGGTTGTGACTGTTAACCAAGAGTGGTAGAAATGTAGATATTATCACAGAAGAAGAAGAAGAAGAAAAAGCGTTCGAAAAAGATTTAAAAGAGCGAGAGAGAAACAAGCTATAAATTTCTATCTACGATTAATGTTTTACCGTCGACCTTCCATGAGTTCAGATTTTCGTTATCTAATTACATTAAAATACTAATTATTAATTAGCTGCGAAGTTAAGTATTCATAAATAATACGATAATAATCATATCATACGTAAAGAAAACAAAATATGGTATAAAATAATACGATTTACAATGATTATTATTGTTATTGTTATGGACATAATTAGTGCGATATGATGAACGTATTTATTAGTGCAATAACGTAGTATCATTTTCTATGCATATTCTCGGTACAAAACTGTTTAATTTCTGCGTATGTACGTAATAAGATTCGAAACATTAACATTTACGAAATAATCGAATATTCAATCGTATCGATAAATAATTCTCACTGCGAAATAACAGAACAAAGAATGTAAATTTAAATACAATGACAGAGATTTATCGTGTACACATTTATTGTACGCGACAAAGCGTATTAGTTCCGCGTTACAGGTACACGTTGCTTTAGTTTACACGAAAGTGTTTAAATTAAATCCCCGCTAGAGAGAATAAAATTCACCCACCGCGTAATGGAGGTATAATTCCATAATAAGCTAAATAAAAACGCTTTCGAATTTGCTTTCGCGGACTGTAAACAGAACGCGGATGTAAAATATGACACGGACAAATGGACGGGATGAAGTCCCTACGCATAGCATAATGGATTTTATCAGGCAAGTCCTTACCTACGCAACCAGGTAACTTGGTAGTCTCGTTCCATTTGCCATTCCTACACTCGAGCGTCCTTTTTCTCTCCCTGCTGTCGGGAAACACGCTGCCCGACTTGCATAGGAATGTCCGCGAAGTCAATGTACCGTTCGACACGTAACTTCCGTTCGGCGCCGAGATCTCCGGACAGCCCAGCACTACAAGCATAAGTTCATTTCCACATTGTGTCTTTCCTTAGTTGGAGCACCTTGCTCCAGTTTAAAATTATGATTGTCGACATCGCTTCGCGCTCCCTTCAGAATTTCCATTGTTTCCGCCAAGACCGCCATGCAATTTCTACGGATAGTTTAAGCGGCGCGAGCTGGCGAGTTATTAAAAAGTTTTAATCACTGAAATAGTTAACAAAGTAGCTAATGGCATTTCAAGAAACTTTTAAATTGACGGCAAAGCGGTCTCGAAAAAGCGGTCTCTCGGTCGTTGAAAATTTTGCGATTAAAATTAAACTTCACATTTCTTTCTGTAATATTTCTGATTTTCCGCAAGATGTCGCATCGTTTGTGAACGAGAAGAAAGAGAACTTTTATTAATTTCTTTTTATTATCGAGGAATAATTTCAGGTAATTGCAAAGTGATGATCTTAAACATTTTGCCGTTTAATCCTTTTCATTATAAATCTACTTTTGTATAAAAAAAACTTCTTAAAATATAAATTTAATATCATCGATCGGATTCTTAAACATCAATCAACGAAATGTTAAATAATTACCTAATTCCAATTCCAGCAATTGTTGAATAATACTTTTTATTATCCAACAGTTGTTGGAATTTCAATAATTCTAATCTAAAGTGCTAATTTTATTCAAATAGCGTGATTAATTTATTTACGCTAGACCTGCTTTTGGCAGAGCACAAAAGTGGCATTGTTGACATTATTATTCCTGGGTTCATCGTCGCGTAAAGACGCGCGTGCTCGCGACACTTGTCTCGCACATTTCCGAGTAGCTCGGAGTTACTCTCTTCTTTTTGTTTTTCTTCTTTTCGTTCTTTTCTTTTTTTTTTACCTTGGTACTGCAGCAGAAAGCCTCGGGCGTTGTAAAATCTCTCCGAAGCGACGAAGTCGAGGGTCAACACGTTCGAGTTGGACACGACTCGAGTACCCGCGGCGGTGCCGCAGAACTCGAAGAGAGTTCTGCCGTGGTCCCGCACTCTCACGATGTCCACGCAATTCCCATCCGCGTCTGGAGCTGCGAACATTTATTCGCCATTACCGCTTGAGATTTGTTTGCGGAACGCGGGTAAAATCGGGCCGCGCGTCGAGCGTTTATTTTTTTGGACGGCGATCGAAAACGCGCGGTTTCCTTAATCGCGATCGTTATCACATGTGGCACATATGTGTACCCGGGGATGTTTCTGTTTGCGTAGTAAACTAGTTTTCCGTTAACAAATCGTTATTCATTCAACAGCTCGGTAGATGGGAGCCAAAGTGGATCGTTGAAACTCAACTGGCTGGCTTAAATAAGGATCGTAAATTTCGAAAAAATATACAATGTCATTTCTAATGTTGCCAACCAACGTATACGTGTTTAGAAACTTTATTTTAAGTTATTGAGCCGCCGTTGTGTTTGGACCATAAATTATCGGAGTTGGCGACGAGGAAGAAACGAAAGAACTACCGGAAGACGGACTCGTTTGTCACGAACGGTGAACACGCTTTTGGTTTTACCGCGAGCAATTCAATTTTTATCAATTTAACTTGTCGCACTCTCTCCGACGAAATGATGACCGGGGTTAAAAAGCAAACTTACCACGGATATCCAAGTCGTAAAAGGTCAGAATTATCCTCTGACCCGGAAACGTTCTGAAGGTCCACCCGCACGTTTCTCCGATGTAATATAGTGGGTAACCTGGAGTGTTGATGTAACCGCCTTCCCCGATCACCTTCACCTCTTGATTGCAGTATCGTCTAACCGCAGCTTCTGTAATCAACAAGAAAATTCTCCATGCGGTTTGGCGATACAGCAAATCTATTTATACATTTATGTGATATAGCGCGAACCAGTTTCACAAAAATTGTGTGTCGTGGAGGAACATTTCGATAAGCGGTAGATTTACATATCTCCTCCCGCGAAATAAAATAATTTTTTTTATATGCATTCGGCATGTAAAACTAGTGAATCATAAAAATAAATCGTAAATCGTAGGGATTAAATTTAATTTAATAATTTTTCGTAAAAATTATTCGAGCAAATTCCGATTGTGTCGCGTGCGTTTAGTAAATCATGTTAATTCAACGCCACCCTCCAGATGCCCGTTCTCCAATTAAATCTCTCCTAGTCACAAATCATTGCTGACAGAGAGAGAGAGAGAGAGAGACGCTATTCTGTATCGCTGTGAAAATGAATTATTTTCGAGGAAATGGGGAAGGCAATATTGCCGCGTTTCAGTTACAATAGGGCCGCCATTAACATCTGCATCCGTTGCGATCTATTTGTCGTCGCGCGATTGCACGGATCCCTTTATAGCGCGTATTACCAGGCCAAAAGGCGAGGGTGTCCTTGCCCCAGTTTCGCGAATAGGGGGGTGCCATTTCTGGGGTGGGAACTAGATATGCTGGCGGTGGTAATAAGGGCGATGCAGGGGAAATTTGGTCCTCTGTCCTCCCTCTTTCCCCTCCGCCATCTCTCAGTATGCAACGTATGTATCGCAGCGTTTTCCAATATTCCGCCAAGTCTGACTTGCTTTCGCAAGGAATATTTTGTTCTCTTCTGAATGAAGCGAGCGATCTTCGTTCGATCTGTCGAACGAATCTACCGAGCGCTTGTGTATTCACTTGCATTTGCAAATTCTGTTGAATTATTCCTGATACTGAGGTACTTTATTAAGGAACGACTTTATTTAATTAACTACATCAAAATTTGTTCGATATAAATTTAAAAATTTTTAGTTGATAAAAATTTACAAAAAAAATTTGTTCTGAAATTTCAAGATTTATAATTTAATATTATTCAAAATTATTTTGCATACATATCTTTTTTTTTTAAATAATTTTAATATTAATATAACTATTTTAATATAACTATTTATATAACTATTATTTTAATATAACTATTAAATAATTTAATAAATATTTATTATAAGCATTCAAATAAATAATAATTTGATTATCATATTATAAAATAAAATACTGTCATACTATTTTAACAAATGTATGTATATAGATATATGTATTTATATATTTAATGAATAGTTTATGAAATATTTTATGTTTATATTCAGATTGACTAAAGAGATCAATAATCATAACCGTGTACCTGTTTCAAAATTTTATACAATTTTTGTCTAAAATATTTCTCCGTAATTTTCACGTTTTTTCGAGATATTTGCTTGCGACATTTATAGGTCACCCTGTATATTTATGGGAAATCACTATTTTTTTTTTTTTATTTCATTTCAAAAGAATCTTGTTAGATATTCAATACAAACATCTATCGCTCTAAAATATTAACATACCTAAAAACATTCAAGCGTGATGTTACATCAGTTGCGACGTAAGCTATAATGCTGGCTCACGTAATTTCTGGTATTCTGTTTATGTTAAGTGGTATAGTAGCATAAGTTTTGAAAAATGGGAAAACCGAGCTATATATCGGACACCAAGCCCGGGGAATGTCACATTTCTTTTTTCGACGGAGCTTCCACAATACGTGCGGTTCCATAGAATGGCGGGATTACATGCCCTTTCCGCAGTGTCGCCGTTGCGCTCGAGCGCGATGCGGTGTGGCATTGTTGCATTGTGCGCGCGCGCGCGCGCGCGCGATCGGATACACCGTTTCTTGTTGTCGTCGGGAGAATTTCAGTGCACATGCCGCCGCGATCCCACGGTCAATAAAGATCGTAGGATCGTCGGACAGCTGCCGGACGACCGGCCGATGGCGAGATAGAAATCTGACGCCGATTTCGTCGGACGTGCGGCACGTGACGTATCGTGCATTTCTCCGCCCCCGCGTGACCTATGCGTCCCGGGCGGGGAGGGGAGGGGGAGGGATGCTCGCTTTATCGAGCTTGTCGATCATCGATTGCGCACGCCCGAATATCGATCGCCACGGAGCAATACAGACCTCCGGGTTTTCCGCCGAGTAAGTAAACCCAGATTGGATAAGATCTAGAGATGCTCGAATTTTAAATGAAAATCAAAAACGCCGTTTCCCGCTCGAAGTCGATAACAATTAAGCGAAAACTAGAAGACTAGTTCGGGAAATATAGAAAAAAAAAAGATTAAAACAATTAAGGGGAACAATTTAAGAGAAATAGATTTCCAAAAATTTTCACTGGTAAATAAATTCAGATTTGTAATAGCCAGAGATACTCGATTTTATGTGAAAATTGAAAATACTGTTACCGCTCGAAATCGATAACAATTAAGAGAAAATTAGAACTAGTTTGGAAGTAGTTTGAAAATTTGAAACAGAGGGAAATATCTAAAAAAAAAATTGAAACAATTGAGAGGAATTTTTGGAACAATTGAATAAAAATATTGAAAATACTCGTGTGAACGTTAGCTAGAATAATTAGCTATTAATAATTTATAAAGTTATAAAGAGTGTTTGTGTTGGTAAAATCCTTCTTGGTAATAGACTGATAAATATAGAGTATTTTAAGAGACTTTTATTTTTTCGTAAGACACTTGAGAAGATAATTAATCAAGCTTTGTATTATAAGATATCTGGCGTACAGTTACTGAGAATATACTCACCTGGTATGCAAGCGTATTTTAATGAGATTCCACCTGGACTCCAAGAATGCGCTCCTGGATGATCGATGGTCGCATTGTAGCGACAATGTTTCTGGCCGGAGCATCTGAATTACAAAAGATCATAAAATAAATAAATATGATAGATTTATTTTCTTAAAAAAAAATGAAATAATCGGAAAGACGTTTAATTATTCTTTCATTATCTTTCCTGCTAAGATGCCTTTTGAAACCTGTCTCAATGTACTTGTATGTACTTTACTTGTACATATTGAGATAGGTAACTTAAAAGTATCTTAATTTCCTTTATTCCTGCATGAATAAATTGCAATTTATGTAAAGTTTTCGGATTACTATCGATTGTCCAACAGCCGCCAATTAAATAAGCGGCGTTGGTCATTAGGGGCTGTGAACGCGCTGACAAAAGCAGCCCCCGGGTTCTTTTGGGGGGAGGATGGAATTTAGGGGAGGGGCTGCGATTGTTGCTGCGCGATCTTTGTTGCTCGCGCTTGAAAGCAGGAGTGAATAATGAACGAGGGTGGATTTTCACCCCTTTTAAGAGGCCTCGCCTGCCCCACCCTGCTACGTCAACCTCTTCTCGTCGATTTTATCGGTCTCTGGGCGGAAATAAAAGGGAAATAACATTTCACCCACGCTTGCTCTTGCGAGGGATCTCTTTGAATTTTTTAGACTTGCCGGCGGCGGATTCTCAAATTGAAACTTGTGATTCTACGCTCGATCGTATCTCTTAGGCAATGATAAATCGTTCTGTTTGGCGATAAAATTTGTAAAGTTCGAATTTTCTAGAAAATTACAATGCCCTACAAGAAAAATAATTCAATTAATTACTTTAATTAAAATTTAACGAAACTCGAATGAATAAACAACACGTGTGTTCAAGTTTGCATTAAAATAATTGTAAGAGAAATACATGCGAATATTATTAAACTTTAATTACGAAAAAGATACGCTTTTTGTATTAAAGCAATTATGTTCTTCCATTAACATTATTATTAAATTATCATTTTAATGTTCATTACTTTTAAATCAGTAATAATTCGAGCAGCTTTGTATATTTTATACTTTCGCGCAAGTAGAAAAAGAAGAAAAGTAAGTATTACAATCTGGATTTCTGGAAAAAGAGAGGTACCATTTTCTCGCAAAATGATTAATGCGATGATAATTTCAGCGATGTAAAATTTGCATCCCTCGGCACTGCTATCCCCTATTTGCGGAATTCTCGGAGCGTGATGCTGTGTAAACGTACGGGGGAACCATTTAGCGGAGATCATTTCTCCTTCAGTGATCATTTAACGCACGTTCCAAGGGGCAGAGGAGAACGTGGGCAATTATTGCTCCAGGAATGCTTCTACCCTTGCACATCAAACGTCGAGATTTTACTCTCTCGACCCCCTCGATGGTTCCCGAGTGCGCTACAAGCAGCGAGTAAAAACGACGGGTATGTACTTATATCAGAGGGTGGCAAGAGTGTCTCGATCGAGTAGCTGTCTTAACTGCATTTTCGTAATAATGAAACTTTTCATGGATCATATTTCTGAAACATTTTAACATTCTTTGATTCTGCCTTTCATGTTGTCGTCCTTTTCATTCTCGCTTAACTATTTCAATTGTTATTATTAATTATCTTGATCATATTTATGTTGATAAATTTTATTTTTAATAGGAAAATTTTTGTTTATATTAATATATTACGCATAAAATATTATTTCTTCCTAAAATTTTATTATTCAATATTATTTATAGATTAATATTAATTACAAAATGTAAAGCAAAACGAAACAGTCTCTAATCTTTTTTTATAGAAACAGAACTCTTAACCAGAGAGCCAAGGAAACTTTAATCGTTTGTTTCAATGTTATTCTGCCGAACGTAGTATATTTATAGCTTTAGTAGCAGTTTATTACAATGTTTGTAGTCGGCAGTAAACGGAATAAGAATCATTTTTTTAGAGCTGCGGTCTCAAACTTGAGCCGTAACCGAACACTGTCTTGTGTTATCGAATACTTGTGTCAGGAATGGAAGTCCGATATCGTCGGCGAGGACTAAGAAAATACTATTTCTAGCCGACGAATTGTCGATAGAATCGGCAATAAAATTACTTTTACTCGAAATCATGGACGCAATTGAAGAATCTGATACGATGAGTTGATCTGAGCTGACGTAAATTGTTTTTTAAAGTTACAAGAAAACTAATTTAAAGATATATACTTCCTTTTAGTATCAAGTATTAAATAAACATTTACATAATGCATTTAATAAATTTTTCTATTGTTTCCCTTATCTTTAAAATTGTTTAATAATTCTAAAAAAATGAGATGTTAGGTTATCAATTTATTTTATTGTTATTTATAAATGAATAGAATCAATTTACCTTTTATTCAAAGATGATCTGATATCGACGATGTCTCCCTGGTCGTCTTCGTCATCGAAAATATAATTTCCTTTGAGCTCTTTCATATTTGTCCACCGTCGTGTGCTACCTTTGTTCTTCCACATTTTGAGTTGCTCGAAACTTTTTGAATCTTTTTGGCAGAATTCCGTATGATTCGCATGGTATTCCGCCTCCAGAATAAAGATGAATGCTTTCAATGATCTGCGGAAATGATATTTTTACGAATAATGTAACATTCTAATTAAATAAGCAGATTTCAATAAAAAAAACTTCAGTCGATGAGAATTAAGTTGATATTTTTTATCATTGCTTTTAAATCTTTTGATGTCAGATTTGGTATCTATTGTTTACTTATAGATATTTGCACATCAATATTTTAAAACGTTCCCAAAATACGAAATTAAATAGAAAGCTTAAATCATGTAAATAAGTTTAAGGCTTCCTTTGAATTTCGGAAGTTTTAATGCGCATTAATAAATCATATTTATTAAGTTTACGGTAGAAGGTACGTGCGTAATATTGAATAAGCTAGAAAGAGACGAGATATTTAAAAATCGTAAATAAAGATAGACTTTAAAATACTTCGATAAGTAAATATTATAAATCTTTATAAATGAATAAACATACGATGTAGGCCACACACACACACACACACACACACACACACACACACACAAAATACACAAAATGTTTATTTCCTTTCGACAAGGTTGAAAATGAGTGAAAAAAATACAAGTTCTTGAAAAATACATATGTTCTTGAAAGTTTTTCTTAAACGCAACGATAAAAAGGCCACCGACGAACCTGCACGTCAATCGGAGCAATCCGTGAGAGCATCTCTGCTCTTGGATCACCTCCATGTATCCTCCGTGCACCTTCACAGCCTTCAGAATTCTGCCGAAAGGCGCCTGGGTGGTGGCGATGATCCTGGACGAGATACTGGCAGCGAATGTCATAAGCAGCAGCACCAGGAGACTCGTCAGGGTCGTCGCTGCCGGCCACGCCATGATGGTTGATCATCACAGTTGATCTGAAAGTTTCCTCGCGAGTCTTGTCTCCAAGAAGGGATTAAAATTAGCCCTCGAGTGCCCACGCGTTCTGATAAGCGAAATCTCTTCAGAAGGTAGACGTTCCACTTTCGTTTCGCCTCTTCAGGTTCTCCCACGGCCACTCGAATCGCAGCTCCGCTGCCCGGAGGTCGACGACCCTTTACCTCCCCCCTCCCCCCCCC